ACACAGCTAGTATACGTAAGAAGTGGAACGAAGAAGAGCAACTATGTGAAGATGCATTTGTAAAAACTACTACCACTTTACCAGATGGTAGAATTGAGGTTCAATTACCGTTTAAAGAATCGCCTTTATTACTCGGAGACTCGTACAATGTAGCATTAAAGCGTTTTCATTCGTTGGAAAGACGTTTATCCCACAATTGTGATTTAAAGTATCAATATACCAACTTTGTGAAAGAGTATGAGCAGTTAAATCATTTGACGGAAGTGCAAAACGTAAATTTGAAACAGCCTCATTATTTTATACCTCACCATTACGTACTCAAACCAAGTAGCACAACCACGAAATTACGAGTGGTGTTTGATGCATCATCAAGTACAACGAGTCAAAAATCATTAAACGATATTCTTCTGACAGGACCAACTATACAATCGGAATTATATTTGCATGTTATGCGTTTTCGATTGAAAAGATTCGCATTAAGTGGAGATATAACAAAAATGTACAGAATGATTCGAATACATCCTGTCGTTCGTATCAGCAAATTTTATGGCGAGAGACTGAAGATAATCCGATTCGCGTGTTTCAGTTGAATACAGTAACCTACGGTTTATCCGCGTCACCTTTCTTGGCGATAAGGAGTCTTCAATATATCGCGGAAAAATGGGAAACCGAATATCCAGTGGGTTCACATGTGCTAAAAAACCATTTCTACGTGGACGATATGTTAACGGGAGCTGATGACTTCCATGAACTACAAATAACACAATACGAAGTTACGTCAATATTAAAAAAAGCTGGTATCGAAATTGCAAAAATACAGTCAAATCATCCATCTTTCATCACCAATAATAATGAATTAAAAGACTTAAATTTACATGAACCAGCAATTACAAGTACGCTTGGCATAAAATGGGATTCAAATCAGGACCAGTTTTTATTTTCGTATAATCCGAGCAAGACATACACGTCGTTAACCAAACGCTCAATTTTGTCGATCTCGTCGTCTATCTTCGATCCGATGGGATTGATTGCTCCTATAATTATTAAGTCACGAGTGTTATTGCAAGATTTATGGATTATGAAGATAGACTGGGATACAGTAGTTCCGCAACAAATTGGAATTAAATTCGAAAATTTCATTAACGACCTAAATAATTTGAAATCGATTAAAATACCTCGATATGTATTACAAACAGATATCATCAACATGCAACTACATGGATTTTGTGATGCTTCAATTCGAGCATATGGATGCTGTTTTTATGTGCGGGTTTGTAATCAACAAGGACATATTTCAGTAAATTTATTAACGGCACGAAGTCGGGTGGCTCCGGTAAAGAAAAGAACCCTACCTCAATTAGAACTTTGTGGAGCGCTTATACTAGCTCAACTATATAGCAAAATTGCGCCGATATTTAGCAATATACATTTCCAAACATTTCTATGGACAGATTCGACTGTCGTATTACACTGGTTGCAACACCATTCCTCCACATTAACAACGTTCGTGGGAAATCGAATTTCTGAAGTACAAGAACTTACTGCAACTTGTTCTTGGAGACATGTTCCGACGTCAATTAACCCCGCTGACGTAATATCACGAGGATGTTCAACTAGCGAATTATTGAAATCCAACTGGTTATCAGGGCCAGCATTTCTAAATCGAGAGTATGAGGAATGGCCAGATTCATGTATAAGTAACACTCAATGCAAACGAGAAGTAGATGGTGCAATTCGGAAAATAGTTATGATATGTGAAACACCCACAAATCAAGTGCTACAATTCATAGATCGGACCAGCTCATATCTTAAAGTTCTTCGTGTTATTGGTTGGTTACTTCGTGTGCGTAACCGAGTTAAACAAAGGGGTCCTGATCATCAACATAATTTCACTAGTGATGAGTTACGACATTCTTTACATTGCATCATCTGGATCATTCAAAGCGAACATTTCTCTAATGAAATTCATTGTATAAACAACAACGTGGAAATTAAGACTTCGTTGAAAACTCTTAGTCCCTTTATTCAAGAGGTGGATGGATTTCCATTGCTTCGTGTTGGTGGACGCCTTATGCATGCGAGTATTTCAGAAGAAAGAAAACACCCTTTTTTATTACCAAGACATTGTCATTTCGTTGAGACTTTGGCTAGACATCATCATATTGAAAATTATCATGCCGGGTCTAAGGCGTTAATTGCAATTTTACGACAACGATATTGGATCGTCAATGCCAGAGGATTAACTAGGAAGATCGTACATAATTGTATCAGCAGCATACGTTATAAACCAAAATTGTTAAGCCAGATAATGGGAGATTTGCCTGCGTCCCGTGTGACGCCAGGCAAACCATTTGAAAAATGCGGAATTGACTTCTGTGGGCCTATTTCTACTTATTTGAAAATTCGAGGAAAACAGCCCTATAAATGTTATATAGCAATTTTCGTGTGTTTCACAACTAAAGCCGTTCATATTGAAGCAGTAACAGATCTGTCGTCAAATGCATTTATTGCAGCGCTAAAAAGATTCATTGGTCGCAAAGGACTACCTGCAGAAATTTATTGTGATAACGCTACGAATTTTGTAGGAGCCAATACAAAACTGGTTGAACTTAAACGAAGCTTTGCTAGTGAAGCGTATAAAAATCATGTCATTAATTTCTGTTCAAATAAATCAATATCCTTTAACTTTATTCCACCTAGAGCACCACATTTTGGAGGTATCTGGGAGGCCGCCGTGAAGTCTGCAAAGGGGCACATGTATCGTACGCTGGTGAACAGCAAGTTAACATATGAAGAGCTCACTACCGTTCTCGTAGAAATCGAAGCAATCTTGAATTCCAGACCGATTTCACCTGTGTCGTGGGATGCGAATGACTTCGAAGCTTTGACACCAGGTCATTTTTTGATTGGGTGTCCCATGAACTGCATCAGTGAACCAAACATTAATCAAAATGTAGAAGTGTCATACCTCGAACGATGGCGGCGCATTACTGCAGTGAAACAACAATTTTGGAGCAGGTGGTCAAACGAGTATCTCAACGAACTGATTCAGCGCAATCGTTGGACTAAGGTTAGCAATAATTTACAGACTGGGACGCTTGTTTTGATTCATGAAGAAAACATGCCACCAATGGTATGGGTGACAGGTCGCGTAACAAAAACCATCCAGGGCAAGGATGGTAAAGTTCGTGTTGCCGATATCCAGACAAAAAAGGGGATCGTTCGTCGTCCAGTTCAAAAACTTGCTATTCTATGTGATCCTTGAAAGACTAATCTTTCAACGTCGGCGGAATGTTCGTACACTTATCGATAAAGGCTGAACCAAATGAGCAAGTCATAACATTAAATCCAAGCCTTTATCTGCTTTGACAGTTGAAGGCATGGAATGGTGTTGTTATTGCTTCGTTTGGTTAGTTTCCTTTTCCGTTTTTGTTTTTTTTTGCTCTCTCTGGCTCGTGGTTGTGTGACCGCCGCACGTAGAAGCATCATTGAAGTTCAATTATACGAAAAATAGAAGTATTAAATAAAAAATAGAAAATTGTAAATAAATTCTAAAATAAACATACACATACCATATTTTTATATACATGTGTATGAATGTACGTATGTATATACCGCAACTAACTCACTTTATTTAAAATGTATTAAATTTTAATTAAAATGTTTTAAATCAAAAGATTTTGAATTAGAAGTGTCCATTATAACAAAATCATATAATATTAAAACTATTCAAAACAATAAAATATTAAAAATTAAATCACTCTCTGGCCCAATTTACACTATCATGAACGTAACATGAACTTGAAAATCGGTTACCGATCGATGAGACAGGGAAGAGAGTGTGATGTGAGTTCATAAATTTTAAGCAACGAAATTTGAATCGTTTTTTCAGCTTGACACGCATACATATTCAATGTTATGTTTATGTTTACCTTTTCATGCTGAATACTTTTAATTTCGTTTACTCCAATCAATGTAAGATATTATGCGAGTGTAGCTTATAATTAAAAGGTTTCTACTCCCTCTTATACACATTTGCAAATTTAATGCTTAAATAATTATAAATTATCACAAAAAACAATTACAATATTAAAACATATATATACATTGTGACCGAAAAGTTTCCGGAAATTTTAAATAAAACGCAAAATTCTTAATCTTCATCAATATTTATTTTATCTCCTTCAAAATATGCTCCATTAGAAGCGATACACAAATGCCAACGTTTCTTCCAATCATCAAAACATTTTTTATAGGCGCTTTCCGGTATGGCTTTGAGTTTCCTCTGCGAATTCTGTTTTACGTCTTCTATGGATTCAAAACGCGTTCCTCTGAGTGGTAATTTGAGTTTGGGAAACAGGAAAAAGTCACACGGTGCAAGATCAGGTGAATACGGGGGCTGTTCGATGGTATTTATTGAATGTTTGGCCTTAAAATCGTTGATAATGTTGGCTCGGTGCGAGGGAGCATTATCGTCATGAAAAATCCATGAATTATCCTTCCACAATTGAGGCCGTTTACGGCGGATATTTTCACGCAAACGTCTTAAAACAGTCAAATAATAGGCTTTATTGACTGTTTGTCCTTCAGGGACGAATTCATGATGCACCACACCACGAATATCGAAGAAAACAATCAGCATTGCCTTGATTTTCGAGCGACTTTGGCGTGGTTTTTTCGGTTTCGGCTCGTCTTTTCCTCTCCATTCCGATGATTGTTGGCTTGTTTGCATGTCGTACTCGTAGACCCATGTCTCGTCACCCGTTATGATGCGTTCCATGAAAGTTGGATCGGAATTGGCACGATCAAGCATGTCTAACGAGACCTGTCCACGATGGTGTTTTTGGAACAAATTGAGGTGAATCGGAAAAAGCCGAGCGTTGACACGTCGCATACACAAATTGTCCACCAAAATCAAACGAGCCATCTCACGACCGATGCCTAGCTCTCGTGCTATCTCTCTAACACTCACATGAGGATTTTTGAACACGATTTCCTTTGCCTTTTCAATGTTTTCGTCGGTGGTAGAGGTCGAAGGTCGTCCAGAACGCGGCATGTCTTCGACGGTCGTACGACAGTCCTGAAAGGCTTTGTACCACTCATAAACTTGAGTTTTCGATAAAACTGATTCCCCATAAGCCTTTTGTAGCATTCGCAACGATTCTGCACACGAAAATTCGTTCGAAACACAAAATTTGATGCAAACTCTTTGATCAATATTTTTTTCCATTGTTTTTTCGCAACGCACTACTGAGGTGAACTGGTTTCAACAGCTGCCGTAAACGAACTGTCTGACAGATCGCGCTCATTTTTGGCATAGTAATTAAGGACAGTGCTGCCAAACTACATAAACTTAAAATATCGAAAAATATACAGCGCGCGAATTTTAAATGAGAATTTCCGAAAACTTTTCGGTCACAATTAATTAATTAGTAATTTAATTAATCAAAATGAAGGAAAGGTTTTTGTATTGATGCAAGGGATATATTATAAAACAATGTAAATGTGTAAATGAATTCTGACTACGCACGGTGTGAAAATATCTCCAAAAGAAACTATAGCAAAACACAAATCAAAGGTAAACAAAATTGTACTCTTTCTCTTCAGCTAAAAATTCATACATTTTATATCAAATTTACAAGCAAAAGCAAAACTAGAGAACAAACACAAAGCGTTCCTCTTGATGGGTCTAATGTTTTTGGAGACAAATTTTTAAAAAGCTCAGTTGAGAAGTCCTCTTGTATTTAGTGTTTTGGTAGTAGTGAATATCATTCGTTGCCATTCACAAAGGCCCGTTGCCTTTTACGAAGCATAGCAGTGCACTACATTAAACTGTGCGAATAGTGCATTTCATTCGCTTCGTGTTTAGTGTGCATACATGATTCGCGTTTAGGTAGTGTGTTTCACATTGACTTTTGAATGCATTCATGTCGATCTCTGGTCGATACTGGGCCCTGTTGCACCAACACTTTTCACTTTGCACTTTGCAAGACTTATGAGTGACTTTTTTTTGCAAAGTACAAGCATTGAGTATAAATATTATAGAGTACAAATCTGAAAATAAACTCAATTTGCCTAATGGGTCTGTGGGGGCGCGGGTAACAACGTAACAAGAAATAGAGAGCAAAATGCATTTCTCTACAGCGCTCTATAATATAGTGAGCACGTGCATGTAAGTTTTTTGTTTTGATTTTGTTTCCTTGTACCATTGAGTATAAATATTATAGAGTAGCAATCTCGTACAAGCAAATTTTTGTATGAGGTTGCTGCTGCTGGCAACCTTTTTGCACTCAAAAAACACTCTTCATGTTTATTCAGTAAATAAAACACTATTTTACCTGTCTCTTATATTTATTAAGTATTTATTATTAAAATGATGTTAATTATTTAATTTTCTTTTTAGAGTTTGTTTGTTACAGTCAGGATAAACATATCTGTGTTCTTGTACGCAGCGTTGTAAAAATTCCTTTTGTTCGTCTTCAACAGTGATTTTGCCATGAAAGTCTTGCATTAACTTAACCGCTCTTTCTGCTGTATCATTAACTGCTCTCAGTGTCAGCACCTTGTTTTTAGCATGTTGAAATGAAGCATTACTAGACCATGAAGTAGGACAACTTGAGAAAACTGTCATCAATTTTGAGTCGATTAAACAAAGCCTTGCTTTTCAATGAAACAAAGTCATCGATGTTTTTCTCGTAAAGTGAACCACAAAGTTCATCTTTTGAAGGGATATATCGTTTACTGTGGGCTGATGGCTTTCTTTGGCTAAGTTATTAACTATTTTTGCCTTTCTTTCATGGTCAACATCATCGTCAAATAGGGACAAGACAGCCACTTCATCAATTAAATACCATAAATGCTGACAGAACTTTTGTAAAACTGTTTTTGATATAATTTTGTCAATTGTTTCATAAGCCTTCATGGTCTTCAGAAAACACAAATCCTGGTAAGGTGCTTTTACCGCTGTAATGCATTGCAGCCAAGGTTTGACGTAGGATGTCACGATGAAAAGACAGACGTCTAACAGAGCCGCTTTATCCTTGTTACATTATAAATTGAGAGCTAAGTAATGGAATTTTTAATAAATAAATTGCCCTCGCCATCCAGCGCGCTTGCTGCATGGCACCTGGAGGTCGAATCTTAAATTTCTTTTCTGTATCTCCACCAAGGAATATTATTGAAAGCTCTATTAATTCTCTATAGTCGTTTCTAACAATTTTCTTAGTCAATTCAGTTCGATAAAATTCCAGCAGTTTGTCAATTTCTGAAGCATTCAGGTAAGATGACCTTTCTATAGGATACTGTACTTTCTTTCTTTCGATATTTGTCCAGTTTTCTTGTAACCTTTTGAATAATGGAATGTTAGGATTGTTAGTAACTTGACTAATTTTAGCTTTAAAAACGCCTTTCAATATCAATTCGTAGATGTGATGACGGCAAGCAAAAATAAGCATATCTCGATTAAATTTTTATTCGAGAAGCACACAAGCACCATTAATACGACCAGTATTTGAACCAGTAGTATCACAACAAAGGATTTGCACTTTATCTTCGAGATTCCAGTCAGTAACCGCATTCCAAACTGCCTGTGCCTGTTCACTTCCTGTACAGTTGTCTAATTTTGGCACCGCAATAAGTTGTTCTTTATCACGATACGAAATAACAATCGGGAGACGTTCTTCTCTACATTTGCGCACATCTAAAGCCGGCAACAGTTTGCCATCCCAATGGACAGTTACAGTGTCTTTCTTTAATAATTTCTGCACGCTGTTTTCGTTTTTCTGTGCGAATTCTTTGAATGGAGGACTTGCTTATAGGAAATTCGTCAGTATTGTGTCCAAGTGCTTCAAAAGTAGCTTCAATAATAAATACAGAATTTCTCATACTTAACTGACACCTATATAAAGGTGCCACTAACTTTGGAGTGATCAAATTTGTCCTCATAGAAGTTTTTTTAATATCGGACTGCGCACTCCCAGTTTGGATGGGTAAATTTTCTTGTAGATCCATTATTTCAGAATCAGAAGATAAATTTTCGTGG